AGCATCCCAGACCGGAAGACCTTTCCTGAGCATGCAACGCCAGCTCTTGCTCCCAGTAACCACCTCTGCAACCTGTGGAGGAGAACAGAGAGAGGCAATCGGGCTCTCAATTCACTTCTGCCTTCACTGTGCTTCTCTTGTGTCACACCCTGACAGCTCTGCTGGCTTTATTGCTATAAGCCTTGTCTCAGGCTGATAATTAGATTTGCAATTTACACAATTCACCATTTTACATAAATACAATCATGCCAAATGTACCTGAGCAAAGCACACTGGCATCTTCTCTGTGCCCACAGTTATGTGTTGACCATCCTGTATGAGAGCATTCCCACAGGCAGGATTCATTTCCATTGCACTGCACATCATCCAGGAAAATGTTCCTTGATCCTGGAATGAAATGTGCATTTCCCAGTGCAGAGAGCTTTTCCACATCCCAGCTGTCTGCACATGACCTGCACATCGTTTATGTCCCAGAAGTCATCACAGACTGTCCCCCAGCTTCCTTTGTAATAGACTTTGTTGCAAACTTCACATCTGTTTCTACCATTTATCAGCCTCATGGACACTTCTGTGAAAGAGAAGAGAGAAGGAGATAAGACTCTGTAGGCTGCCAAAACTGCTAAGTTAAAATTCTGGAGTATTTCTGGAGCTGATTCAGTATGTCATGCTGGCTATTGGATTCTCTCCTGGTCTTTCCTCTGCAGGGGAGGTGGAGAAAGCAATTTGATTAGTGCCAGCAGATTTAGTGTCATTGTGGGACAATTTGCAATCACTTGGTGTTTCCTGGGTCACTGTTTGAACCAAAGATCCCCTGCTTGGGCCAGGCAGATGTTCACAGTTACCTAAGTCAGGTTTCCATTCCCAGCCTAATACTGGTTATGAAATTAATAGTAATGAAAGAAATGCCCTATGTTAGATAAATGCTAGTGGGTATTTATCTATTGATACATTAACAATGAAGTATTAAAATTAGTAGAGGCAGAATCAAGGTTTTACTCATCAAGACAAGGGTGACCAAGAGATGAGGTTAATCAAGCCAAAGCATCACAATGTGACCATGACTTTCTTATAACTAAATTCTCTTTTCTCCTTGCATTTTAATATCACTTAAAGGCCTTTGAGTTTCATTAGAAAGTGGAAAAATCTCTTAGGTTTTTTTTTGTGTGTGTGAGGTTAACTCTACCCAACAGATAAAATGGAAAATACTGGTTTATGCAACACCTTTTCTTTTTTAAGACTTTGGACTTTTAGCAACCTGGTCCAGTGAAGAAGTTTTTCACACACAAAAAGTCCCATCCTTTCAGTACTCTGGCAAACCAGTTATACATTTCAGTTTCAATTATTAATTGTCCTTAAAGTTTAAAAATCCATGGTTAACATCATGAAAACTATGCAAATCAGTATTACTGCTTTCATTGTTGTCAAAATATACTATATTTTAAGAAGTCTTTCTCATGCATAAACTACTGAAGAAACTAAATAAGATGTAAATTGGTAATAATTTAAACAGGAAGTTGCTTATGCTAAGGAAAATTATTTCAAGATAGAAATGGTTGAATAAATATGAAGTTGAAATTGCCAGGTATTTATTTCAGTTTCCATAGAAGCTGTGAGAGGAGGAAATAGACAAAATACACATTGTAGCAATCACAGTTTTTGTAAAATTAACTATATTTTTAGAACAGGTTCTTCACTGAAAGGGTGGTCAGTCACTGGAAGAGGCTGCCCAGGGAAGTGGTCATGGCACCAAGCCTGTCAGAGTTCAAGGAGCATCTGGACGACGCTCTTAGTCATATGGTTTAGTTTTAGGTAGTCCTGCAAGAATCAGGGCGTTGGACTCAATGATCCTTATGGGTCCCTTCCAACTCAAGATTTATTCTATGATTCCATGATAATATTTCACCCTTCTTTGCAAAACCTGTTTTTCTTTCAGACAGTGTTCAACAACTGGTTAATTAAGCTCTTTGTAATACATGTGTTCTGAAGATGACAAAAATGTTGAGACATGAGATTATGAGCTGACTTTCATTGCTAGCAACTTGAAAAGCAATGGAGAATGGGATAAAATTTTGTAATTTTTTTTACCATCTGACAGATATTAAAAAAAGTTGCCAGGGTTAAATTTGGGTAAGGAACTAGAACTGCCAGAAGTCTGAGCATGGCATGCCCTTCTTCAGAGGGATCTGACAAAGCCCTGCTTCCTTCTTGTTGCTCCCTGCCCCTGGACTGCAAAAGAGTCATGACTCTAAACATTTGGATTTGTTTTATCCTGATTATCTCACACAAATAAATAGTCTGCAGGCATTCAATAGGAGCTTTGTCAAGGTGAGGCATGTGGGATTAGGAGCTTAAGCTCATGAAAAGTCTCCTGTGTGAAAGCTTGTTGGTTCTGTAAGGGCAGAACGTGCCTCGGGATTGCTTTTTGGTGCTCCTCCCTCGTCTTGGTAATAGGCAAATAGAATTGGTTAATACAGATTACAGATTATTAAAATAATGTGATGGTAGTATAAAAGTATTGGAGTGACACTGATTAAAATGCTCTAAAAGTTTTTGAATCTTAGCTGGATGGAAGTTTGCAATGACAAATATTGATTAAAAAAAAGAGGGAAATTCTCTGCGTAGGATAGAGCCTTATTACTGGCACAAGAGCCATAATGTTGTTGAGAAAAGGTTTTTCTAGTTCATGGGAGCACTTTTCAATTTGACAAAATTAAAAATTAATTGTGACTCTTCTTGATAAAGCAGATATTAGTGTGTACACAAGCAAATGACACTGGCATCATGGTGGCCATCACAATTCTCTCTATACCACCCCCTGTAAGAACTTCCCACAGGTGGTTCTCATTCCCTCTGCATTGCACATCATCCTTGACAATATTTCTTGGGCTGTGAGTAAAGGTGACATCTGAAGATGATACAGCATGTCCACAAACCTGCTGGTTACAGGCAACTTCTGCATCACTTATATCCCAGAAATCATCACAAATGGTCCCCCAGGACCCATATTGTAAAATATTTCAACATGTCCTTCACATTGGTTCCACCCGTTCACCAACCTCACTGACATTTCTTTGAAAGAAAAAAAGAGAATTTCCCCAAACCTGGGCACTTCATGGAAAGACAAAATCAGAAACTTATGCAGGTTGGAAGGGACCTCCAGAGGTCTCTGGTCCAGCCCCTGCTTGAAGCAGGTCCAGAGCAGGTTGTTCTGGGTCATGTCTATGAAAGCATTGAATACCTCCAAGGACGGAGATCCCATAGCTTCTCTGGGTCTCTGTTCTGGTGTTTGACCACCTCATGGTAAAAATATTATTTTTCTTTATATTGAGGTGGAATTTCCCAAGTTCTGACTTGTGCCTGTTGCCTCTTGTCCTATTGCTGGGCACCTCTGAGAAGACACTGGCTCCATCTTCTCTGCACCCTCCCAGTGGGTGACTGTAGATGGCAATAAAATCTCCCGTTCACACTCTTAAGACTGACCAAGCCCAAGTCCATCAGCATCTCCTTGTACATCTTGTCCTCCAGCTCCCTGAACGTCTTGATGACCCTTTGCTGGACTTGCTCCAGGATGCCCTTGCCTCTCTTGTATGGGGAAGCCACACTCTTGTACTGGACATGGTGCTACAGATCTGTCTCACCAGAGCTGAGTAGAGGGGAACGATCACCTCTTTTGACCCGCTGGCAACACTCAAAGGGCACATTGTTGGCTCACGGTCAACTTGTCCACTAGGAACCCCAGATCCTTTCCTGCAATGCTGTCATCTACCCAGCTGGCTCTCCGCTTGTACTGCTGCACTTCATAATCTTAGCTGACATTTACTGTCAAAGATATTTTTTGTGAAGGAGGAATTAAGGTGGTACAAAGCAGGTTATAAGATAGACCTCTATGCCATTCTCATTTCATTAGGTAGGTATGAACAAGTGTTTTCAGCCTGCTTAGATGTTCCTTCTTTTCAGAGTCCCTGGGGCAAAGCCATGCTCCTAAAGCACATACCTACTCTACCTGAAGACAGTGATATTCCTGAATAATCCAAGCTCTGCAGCGCAGGATCTACAGCAGTACTGCTCTGAATAAACGTTACATGCAAACTTCAATGTAACTCTGTATGTACAAAGTCAAGCCTAATTTATCCAGACTTAACATTTAGATGGATGTAATTTGGGGAAGTTCTTGACTTTATTCTCTGTTAAACAGTAACAGAATAGAAAAGCTGGTCATCTGTTTAATACCTGGGCTACACTGGTGTATTATCTCATCGTGACAAAAGGATTTACAAATATTCCTCTTCATAAACTGTATGTTGGTACTAAATGACTATATTAGGGAAAATTTATTTCATAAGTAAAATCAATAAAGATATATAGGAGATGAAAAATACAGGGAACTTCAGACATCAAAGAAGCTGCGAAAAAAAAAAAGGAAAGAATGAGAAAGTTCACATTTTTAACAACTTGCACTAAACAAAATGAACAGAAATTATCTATTTACTCACACTGCTAGAAAACCCCCCACAAACCAACTCTCAGTACATTGAAATTTTGTCTTTATAAGGTTATTTATGTTTTTAAATGCATAGTAGCCTGTATTTTGCAAATTAGTAATATGTCTCATGAAGGATGTTTTTCAACATCACATAAGGAAATAGCTAGTTAGTTTCTCTGTGATTCTTTTTAACAATCAGTTGAATTCATTCTTTAGTTAGGAAGCAATGGGAATGGGAAGATGGGTAAGCCTCTGAATGGCATTATACTCTACCAAAAAAAGGGAAATGTAACTGTCCTGGTCCTTAGAGTTTACTATTTAAAGATTTTGACTGTGGAGGCTAACATGTGGGTTATAGTTCTCTCTTAAGAAGATTTGCTGAAATGCAGGAGAATAGTTTGGGGATGTCCTGAAGAGCTCGGCAATGATTTTGGTAGTTTAGTTCCCTTTCACTGAGCACCAGAATCTCAGTCCAGCAGATGTGTACAGCATGCTATTGATCGCTGATGTCAATAAATCAGAAATTATCCGCACAGATGACACCGGCATCTTCCTGACGAAAGCAGTGATTGGCGAACCACACGTTATGGGAGTACTGCCAGAGGAGAGCTTCACCCCTTCGGCACTGCACTTCATCCAGGAGGATTTCTCCTGTGCCATCACCAAAACGAGCTTCTCCCAGAGGTGCAGAACATTTGTTCTGCCCATTCACTGGCCTCAGGGATGATTCTTTGGAAGACAAAAGGAAATTAGATCAACTATTAGAGTGACTGATGTGTTTCCAATGACTCCCGCAGTCTCAGGCTATCGGTGGAAAAGCTTTACAACAGCTTTCTAAGGAGCCCATCAGCAGGGAAAGTGTGCTCTAACCTGCGCTGCTCACCAGACTTGAGTTCCTGTGGTTTGGGGCCTGATTTTAAAGTGTCTTCCAAGGGTGAGGCATCTGAGTGTCCTTATGGCAGTTGCATAAAGTTAGAGTTACACTGACACAATGCCATCATCATCTAATGGGGACTCCAGCACGTCATACTGTGTTTTATCTGGCCAGCAATGGACTAAACAAGGAAGCCGGTGCCCAGAATAGCACAGCAGAAGGTCACTGCCTCCAGTGTTTCACTTACTGAGGTAAAGATTGAATGCATATGGCCCCTTAGGCATTACTTTTGCACTGGAGGCACATATGCTGCGCGGCTTCCAGCTGAAGATCTGCACAGTGAAGACCACTGTGTTACCCCTTGGCTCTGAACCACTTCCAGATTATTACCTGCATTAATTAATATTATTCCCAAAGCTCACAGAAACTGTCACAGAAACTCTCACAGACAAACCTCGCTATAAGGAACAGATCTGCTGACACTGGTGTTTCCAAAGCAGTAGTTCAGACCTAGGCTGTGTCTAACCTCTAGGCTATCACTAACCTGCTACACATATGCAGCTCATCATGCTTTTACCATATGCTCTTACCTGCTTGCTGGGATCCCCTTTCAGTGTGTCATTATATTTTTGTCTAAGCCCCTCCAGTGCACTAAAGAAAATTAATTACTTATCATTATGTATTTTTTCCTACAATGCATTAAAATACAATACAATATATGTGTTTTCTACATTACATTAAAAGAAAGAATTAAAATATTTAGTGGCATCTTCAGTCCTCAAACCCGCTAAACACCCATGACGGCTACTGGTTTGAGTGGGCTTTGATACAGGTTACAAAATTTGCTAATATTTATTTTAGAGGAAAGCACAAGAGAGAGGGAGATAGCACTGAATAGCATAATGCACAGTACCTGACCCCTGCAGACATCCTCTGTGCAGCAGTAGCATCCAAACAGCGGTCAGCATGGGCCTCATGTTAACTGGGTTCCCTAGAACACTGATAAAACATTTCAGAATTTATAAGCATGTGGATTTAAAGGGGTGTGCTCTGCAGTTTGACCAGCCTTTTTTTTTTTTAGTTAGTAATGTCATACAAAGGAGATAATTTTAACTTTTAAAAACATTCTCTTAATTTTTTTGGCAAGGGTTTGTTTATAATACCTTGATTTTTCAGTTACCTTACTTATTGTTTGCAGGCCTTCTCTTCTATGGGACCAGTGGTTAAACCCTCCCCTTGGCATATCCAATGGCAGCCATTGGCCCAAGAGGAACCAGCTGCATGCAGCCAGGGAGAAAATTAGTGATGTCAAGCAAAAAATGATGGCAGACTTTTTCCACCTCTCAGTTTCTTCACTGTCCTGAAGTGGAGCTGGGGGTGGTTGTGCTCCCCCGCCCCCTCGCAGACCAGGCCCCCCTAGCCCATGTCCGGCAGTGGTGGCTCTGCCTGGGGTCCATCAGGGTGGCTCTGTGGCCTGAGAGGGTTGCAAGAATTTGCAGCACCTCCTGTCCTGGCCCACTTGTGCTGTCCAGGAGCCCAGACAGAGCAAGCCCCAGCAAGGAAAGCCCTGTCTGGGGAACCTGTCAGGGCAGAGGTACCACGAGCCAGCTGAGGTCTTAGCCGTATGCTCCCATGGCTCACATAGCCAGGCCCTGGGCACCAGAGCACCTGCAGCTGTAAGCATTACCGGGGCAATGGACTGCCTTATCTGCTAGGAAACAAAATGCTTTTTTTCAAAATGCAATGCCAGAAACCCCTCAAGACTGTACAAATTCTAGTCTGTGTTTCAAACAGTTAATTTTTGGCTTGATCTGTAAGTGTCATCCCAGCTGTCGTACTTCACAGCCTTTGGGAAGCATCTCATGTGATGCCTGGATTAATCCTTGCAGTGTTGGCAGAGAGTAGTCCACTCGTCTTCCTCAACAATGCATTCCTTAGAGAAATACAGTGAACTTTTATGAAAAAAAGAAGGATTGTTTCGCACTGGCAAGGTTCAGATCAAGTGTTTACTTTACATGCACAGTGTGCAGCTTTCAAATGCACGCTGCCCAAGCTGCCCAGGATCTCGAAAAGAAACTGAAGCAACAGGTTTTGGCCACCCTCCTGTAACTGGAGCTTCACAGTTGGCTTTCTGAGCCTGCAACTAGGGACGGCAGGATCCTGCATTTTGGAAAGAAGGCCTGGCTTCACTACATTAATATTAAGTCATGAGCCCTGCCACCTCTTTGCATGGGACAACAGAGCCTTCACATCAACATAACTCAATTTTCATCATACCTCATGCAAAAAAGCTGTGCTTGAATCCAGGCTTAGCAATGGAAGATGGTGGTAACTAATGCCAAATGCTTCAGAAACACCTCAACATCCCCAGCTGAACCTGTGTATAAACCTTTTATAACCAGATAACTTCAGCAAATGAGGAGCCCTCAAGTCAGGGTCCTTTTGTGCTAGCAACTGGTCAGGCACAGAAGAAAATTCAGTCTTTGTACTGAGTGCCTAATTTTATTCAGTGCCTAAATTAAACAATAAGCAGAAGGGATGAGGGAGATAAGGCAAGGAGTAACAAGATCTTGATGTGCACTGGGAAGTTATCTGCATGGTAGGAGCAGGGATGAGAGGGGAGGAAAAAGAAGCAAGAAAGGAAAAAGTCATATAAAAACATAACAGACTTCGTCCCCATCACCAGTAGATGGGTTTCTACTGGACTTTCGTCCCCAACCTAGTAGATGGATTTCAGCCTCCAAGGCTATTAGACAACAGTCATCTGACTGCAACTGTTCAAACCCCACATTTTATCTATTCTATTTAGACACTCACACACACAGAGAAAACTTCCTTAGACTCAACAGGTTTGCATTACTATGTCTGGGGACAAAATACAGCCCTCATAGTCTTCATACAGAAAAAGGAGGAAAGAGAGAGGCCATCTCTCTGAAACTATAGTTAAGTTTTTTAAAACTTGCCCCCCCCCCCCCCCAAAAAAAAAAATGATGACAGTTGTTTAAACTTGACAGGCTTTTTAGAACAGCAGCAGTCCAATTAATTTCTACATTACTGCCTGTGACTAATTCACTTATTTCAGCAAGAAGAAGGAAAAATCTTCTTGGATGGGTACCAGGTGATTCAGGGCAAAAGAGGTGATCCAAGTGTTATTCTAGGAAATGAAAACAATCTCACTCCCAGTGACCCACCTGGGTCACTGACGAGTTTCCTCATCTAGGCATGATTTTGTTAAAATATGTTTTTTGTGTCATAGTTCTTGAGCCTGAGATAGAAAATGTCCTAAAATACACAAGCTGCTGTGAGAGTTTTAATATCTCCTTAGTTTTTCCCAGCTAGATATAAACTGCCAAAACAAATAAAAATTAAATACCCCCCCACCATGAAAATAAAAGCAAACTACCAAAATAAAGAAGAAAAAAAAAAAAAGGAAAATCTCTTCTTGTAACATAAGGCATTTAACAGAAATTGTGTGAAAAATTGTGCTTGGATTCAGGGATGATGGACAGCAAAGGACTGCAATTCTTTTTATCTTGAACTTGTCACAAACAAAGGGCAGTGGTGGGTCAGTCTCAAGAAATGCCTTTGCTGTTTCCCCTGAGTTTATTAAGCGTGGTGGACAATTCAGCAACCCAGCTGCAGTGGCTGTCTGCCTGATTTCCCGTTCAAGGTAGACCCTAGAGCAATCCTGTTAAAAAAGCTTGCCCATGGTTGGTGAGTCTGATGGAGTTATTAAAAAAAATGAAATTATCAGTCAAGTGAAAGTGATCTCCAGAGTATATTCATTTAGTTATTTAATTGGAATTTGGTGGAAGCATTCAGTCTCAGGCATTAAAAGACACCTAAGTCAGAACTGTGAGCAGAAGGTTATGTTTAGCTGCTTAGTTCCGCTTGATGTCAATGAATATCTGTGGGGTTCTATGGCAAGGCATGGGGAGAAAGTAATAAAAACAAGAAAAATTGTGTTTCTTACCTATACCCTGCAAACCCAAATTAGCTATTTTTTCAGCCTCAATCTACGAAACATGTGGATTTGTTATTAACAACTGGAAAAAGAGTCTACCTGCGAGCTATGGGATCCAGAAACAAAACAATGTTTATTTATACCCAATTATAAATATTTTTATAGTATGTTCCTGGGAAGGAGGATTACAGAGTTGAATTATCTGCTTCATACTCCAAAATTAGAATAGAAAGATAAATAGGACACCAAAGCACAGGAAATTCAGCATACAAACAAGCAAACAAGAACTTTGTTTCTGAGCTTTGCTTTAACCCCAGCGCTGGCCAAATAGGTTGCATGATAACACTGGGAACAGCATAATGGCAGGAACCCACAGAGTTTGTACAATCTTTTTATCAAAAAACGTGTATGTATTTGAAACCAAATTGCTATGGATCCATTCTCTTTCCATGAAGAAACCTTCTCAAGTGCCACTTCAGGGGAGTTGTTCAGGGATGTGCAATTTTGTCGGAGTTATGAACATATGCAGCTACATGGTCTGGATATATGTGGTGTAATTCAGTCATTATCCTCTCCCAACACAACTCACACTGCATAGGTTGACACTTGCAAGGGGTTTTAGCATGATGTTGCAAACAACATGTTTACTTGGTGCTGAGATTGTCAGTTGAGTGCATACTACTGAGTGAACAAGTACATACTACATGGTTGAGTAGTGACAGACACGCTAGGAAGAAATTAAATAATCTAATACCAAAGACAGACAGTTATTCAAAGCAAAAACTTGCCAAGTGATGGTTGGTGTGTCTTCTCTGAGGGTGGAGGAGGCAACAACAAGAAGCCTAACTGCAGCCTCCAGAAAGCTCATTTAAAAAGAGCAAAGGCAGTGGCCTCCACACACTCCTGGTTCTTGACATCCCTGTGTTTGCAGGCACCAGCCTTCACTGTGCAGTTAGTGTAATACTGATCCCCCACAAAATGAATAAACAAGAAAACAAAACAAAAGGCCAAATAAAGAATTTTAGTTCACATTTTGGCTTTAATTCTCCGTATTTTCAACTAGGATATGAAAGGCAAAAATCCCAGACCTTGCTTTTCATGTTTTTATGCACCATTGGTAAACATTTATGTGGGATTTGGCTGTTTGCATTTCCAGCATATTTCAGCCTGATTTATGAATGCACACAACACACTCTGGAAGGCTGGGTAAGTCCTGAGAAGCCAAACTCCTCACAATCACAAAGCATACAACCATGGGAAAAATAGAAATTAAATAATTTTATTGTGATCAGCAACCAAAAGTATTAAAAATTGAATAAAACTCTTCCTTCTCAAAAGGAGACGTGAAATGTCTTTCAACATTTAAATGACATTTTGGTGAGACCTGAAATGTCTTCTGACTGAGGTTTGATCTCTTGGATGAGATTTACAGTTTTTCCTGGTTTAGGATGTATGTCAATGGGAAGGTTTCCAATTGATTTGACAAGCCTTTAGGTCAGATTGTGTGGTTCAGCCTTAAATATTGCAAACGAACCACCTTTAACAGCTCAGTATTGTTTGAATTTGGATTTATTTAATCTGGAGAAGTGAAAACTTAATGGAAAAAACATCAATCTTCAAATAGGTAAAACACACCTAAAGAGAAAGGGGAGAAAAATGACTCCCCACGGCCAGGAGGGACAGGGCAAGAACTAATGGGCTTGAAAGCAACAGTGAAAATTGAGGGTAGGCATTGTGAAAAGCCTTTTCAACGGTGATGCTAATTTCAATAGTGAGTCTCATTAAGCATGAGAAGAGGTTGCTTAGGCAGGTTAGGGAAACATCTGTTGCGAAGTTGTTGGGCTGAGGTGGTGGTGCTGAGGGTGCAGAGGAAGCTCCAGATAATGTGCTTTTGGACACTCCAGGTGAGCAGTGGTGCCCGTGGCCGAGGAGGAGGTGGCACGGGGGTGGCTGGCATGGAGGATGGAGGCAGCAGCAGGGACCTAGCGGCTGTGTGGCAAACAGGCTGCAGTGTTCATGGGCACAAGTGCCACAACGTGGAGCGAGAAGGACACCAGGGCTATAGTAGGGAACTCAGGAGCAGGAGGTGTGTGTCATGAGGAGATAACAGAAATGACAGGAGAGAAAAGAGCAATGGTAGTTATACTAAAATGGTTGGGGAACTTTTTCTAGACCTCTCAGGGCATAATGATTTCTGTGCTCTGTTGCTCCTTATCTTTGCAGATAAGTCTATCATCAATGAGGAACCAAGGAGTCTTTCAAGGCCTTCCCTGTGAGGTTTGGACATTTTGTTTTACCTTTGCTGCTAGATTTTGTTTTATTTTTTACCCACCCTTTACAGTTTAACTCCATTAAAATGCCTTGCTGTAGCCACACACACAGAGATGTGCCCAACACTCATACAAAACAGAGATACTTCACACCTCTTCACAGAAGTATGTAGAAGTGTTTCAAAATACAACCGATGGGCAGAAAGTCAAATACTGGAGGGAAAGCTTTCTCTCCAATAACATGGAGAAACACACTGCCTGTAGAAGACACTTATTCCTCACCGGCATGTAGGGGAAGCTCCTGTCACCTTTCCTGAGGTCCTCGCCTTTGGTGCTGCTGTGGGAACAGCAGCAGATGCAGGGCCTGCTTGGATGGGAGAGGATGCTCAGGGACTCAGTCAGCCACCTGTTTTGGTGGGAGCGGAGCGATGGGGCAAATGTGGATAGACAGGTACTTAGGAGTCCCCTGAACAATGTGGGTCATTTTGCTTTTGTGTGTTGACACCCAGGAGAAAGTAATGGAAACTAAAAGAAAAGGCATTTCTGAATCAAGAGTCAGCAATCTGTCTTCCTAGGGCCAGATATTTTCTGTAAATTTGCGTGTGCAGAAAGAAAAAGAATTAGCTCATTCCTTTTGAAGCCTACATTAAGATATTTAGAAATTCCCTATGTAGTATTTCAGAAGCAGGGGCTCAGTCCATCACTTGGCGAATTTTTAATCAAACAGACCACCCTCTTCAACACAGTAAAACATTCATTTGTATTTTAATCACAGAGACTTTAATTTGAAAGACAAAATAGAATTATTGCTTTGTAAACATTCCTTCCTTTGATTTTAAATTACACTCCTCACATAACAGATTACTTCAGCTTGGAAATCTCTGCATTTTATAAATAAGCACAGATCCATTATTGTTTCAATGAGAAATTTAGCATTAAAAACAATACTCAAAATAATTAGAATATTGTATAGCCGCAATTCCAGATGCCATGGTAAGATCAATTTTTACATTTCCTTTCCAGACATGACCTATTACTTCTCCCCAAATTAAATCTTCCTCCCTTTTAATAAACCTTGAAATATTTATTGATGCCTCATTCGTATTTTCTCTCCAGCTCACAAAATTCCGAGGCATTAGATAAATGGTCTTAGAAGAATGTGAGAAGAGAATTAAAGAGGAGAAAAATGATATAATGATTGTACCAAACAACTTGTGACGTGAATGTTGAAATTATTTCTTAATCATTTAAGAGCTGTTAGGGTTACAAAGTTATTCTAAAGCATTGTAACAGGCTAGGATTCATTGTAGATAAAGATATCACAGCTTCTTACAAATGGCACATATGTTACTGTTGTCAGTGAATCATTTTGGCAACTCATATTATGTGTTGTTTGCCCTGTAGTCATTTAGTGGATGATGCTGACCTTTGATCTCACATTATTCCATGCAAAAGCTGTTTCTTCAGTGCAGGCCTTGCAAGAAAACCAACAAGAACAAAAATGACAACTGCCAGGATGGTGACAGCAGTAATGACCGGCACAAGGGGATTATCAGCAGCAGCGGGAACTGCCTGGGGAGGAGGCACAGAAGAATCCAGCCCTGTGAGTGAAGGCGGGGTGCGTGTGTGTGCGTGTGTGTTGATCTCAGTATATTAAAGATCAGGGCACAAAAAGCTGCTGCATTAAAAGGGATGGTTCCCTGATCAGTCAGAAGTAAGCTAACTTCTTATTGATTCACTGCTTTAAACTATTTGAACAGCCTTTATATTAGCAGAGATGGCAACTTAACTAAGCAAACTTCATAAGTAGACAACTGAGGGAATTAAATGTTTCTCAAGAAGGCTGGGAGTTTGCTCCCAGCTGGCCATCACGTTACACAAGCAGACTGGAGCTAATTAGTTCAATGGAGTTATAGCACTAAAATGGGTTACACGCTACCTCTCCTTTGGGGCAGCCAAAGCAGTTATACTTTTTATACATGCAGGTGAAAACAGGGGGTTTTCAAGGTGTTGAAAGAAGAAAAGATTTGTAGACATTCGGATCAGCCAAACAATCCCTTCCTTTTTATGGCAAAGTTAGCAAAAGCAGATTTAAGTGACATGTCAGAAACGCAGAGCTATGGCTTTTCTTGAAGCCCGAAGTAGTCTTAGAGTAAATATGAGAGAACTTTATTTAACTTTACCAGTATTCCTACTCTGAGCATCCCCTTCTCGAAGCTGAAGTGGTCCGACAACCACATTCACTTTTTCCTCGGCAGAACTTGTATCTCTCTTGGACCTATTAATACAGCCCTGGTAGCAGCGGGAGGAATAGTCACCGAGCCTGCACACCACCAGCTCACACTGCAGGTAGACTAACGTATGGCGGCTGATGAACTCAAAGGCATTAAATTTAAACCGAGCAAAGTGGCTGTAGGGGGAGTAGTATGTGGCATAGGAAGAATCTCTAACACATCTAGAAAGAAATGAAACAGAGAATTAGTCTTCATGGATACACACATGTACATTCCTGCAAAAATACAATAGATTAAAACAAAACTATATCATAGCCAGGTACTAAGAACACAATGGGATGAAAATGCAACTTTTATAGCATAGTATAGACTTTTTAAATGTAGACTTAAGTCCTATGAAGCAGCTAGAGCATTGGCAACTCTTTTTTTTCCAAGAGGAGACTATAAGTGGTGAAGAGGGGAGAACAGACTCTTAGTAATGTCTGTGCTATATGAGGCACAAAAAAATGAGTCTAATGCTTGACCTGGTTTTACTAAAACATTTAACGCCTAGGTAAAACATTTAACGCCTAGGAAAATAGATTCCTGCTGCCAGTTTTCACTATCTCATCTCATCTACCTCACTCCCGCTACTTTGAAATTTGCATATAGGACAAGGATGAAGTAAGTGAAATGAAATGTTAGTAAGGTCTAAATGTAATTTCTTATTTCCAGGCTTATACTGTAAAAATAAAAATTCAAAGACCCCTTTTAACAGTCTGTTGATAATGAAATCTATACTAGTTCAGATTGGCTCTATTCTTTTAAATAAATGCAGAAAGGGTATTACAGCTATGCTTCTAAAGACTCAAGAAAGCTCTTACCCATTCCTGATTATATCATAGGCCAGAGTGTTAAAATCATGAGGATCAGGTGACGCCACACATGTGTCCACAAACACGATCAGATTTGGATCAGAGCTGTGAAGATAAGCTTGAAGGTACAAATTTTGGTTCAAGTCAATGTAGTATGGAGAGTCGTGAACTTGCCGCAAGAATGATGAGGAATCATAAAAAGTGATGTTCATGTCATATCTTCCAAACTGATTTTCATTCACGTCTACAGTATCCTCAGCAACATACATTATTTGCATCCATGTGTTCTGTAGCATTTTGCAGCTGATATGTAAGTGAATATTCTTTTTCCTCTTGATTATGTACCCAGAAGATGTAACTTTGATCATGTTGGAATAGTTGATTGTATCATTGTTCTCCTGTTTAACATGTAATTTAAAATGAGGAATTGCATTTTTGTCATGTTCCATGTTCTAAGCTTTGATAGAGTAATATGTAATTTAAAAATGTAGATTCATCTTAAACTATTTAAACGAAGAAGCTTGATGTTGGTCTTTTCTGCTCACACATTGCAAATAAACTTGCTAAGTATGTAATTAAACAGAAATCAGTGGAGAAAAACTCTTTGTTAAATCCAAGGCACAGCCAACTCACTGAACATCTGTACAAAACACCAATTGTGCAGTACACAGTCATCCCAAACCTGCATGGCACTTACAAGACTATGTCTACTTTAAATCATGTAAGGTTCATATAACTTCCTCTCATGCTTTGCTCCCTAGAAGCTCATTTCTATTAAGCATGGGGATTCCCTAAGGCATAGAAAGCTAAAGCACTAAAAACCTCTGGGTCTCGTTGGTTCGCTTCTTAACACTGTGGACCACAATGGCCCTTTCATGACTCTTTTCAAAGCGGGTCCTGCAATTCAGTGCGCACAATGGTGAGCGTACCTCTCGTATCGTCCCACAGCCGTTGTAGGGAATGTTGAATATAACCTCGTGTGACGTGACTGTCGGTTTACAGCGATTGTCGTTCAGGGTGACCATCTGCACTGAGTAGCCTTCAGACTGGAGATAGTCTCTGCTAACCACCGCATGCATGTAGTCTGGCAAGCACAGAAGGGCTGGTAGAAGAAGATACAATATATTAGTGACTTCAGGAATTTGTTAATTGTAATTGAACCAAATGTTTTTTTCTTAATTTAGAAGGTAGGCAGTTCACACACCAACCTATCATATTTCACACGCGTCATTTCATTTCCCTAACATCTTTAAATATACAAAAATATTTATTTTGCAAACAAAAGCAATAAACAGGCTTGTCCATTGAGGAACACCGACCGGGAACTTACTAGTGTTGTCATCTGCTGGAATGGAGAAGTAGTGAGCCTGAAACCCTCTGAAAGTGTATCTAGAATCACTGTGAAAGCGAACGGTCATCATGTTTGAAGAGGATATGTACGTGGGAAAGGAACCTGAACAAAGTCTCCCAAGAAGCGGGGAAGAGTGTGGAGGCCCGTCATAGACTTCAACGTAGTCATACTGGCATCTGCCGCTTTGCATCCTGGCAAACAAATGTCAGCACCTTGTCAAATGCATTTCAGAAACTCTGATTTGACTGCCTAACGTGATAAAATCTTTCAGCACTTAAAGTTCTCACGGCAGAGGTTTTATTCATTATGTATGTAGCTGTAGCAGAAAATTGTGAGCAGAAAATACTACAGTAATCCAGATTTCGTTCTGGTCTTCCAACTGCTGGATGTTATTGAAAGTATCTTTAAAATTGGGAAGGTTGCCTGTTTCAAATAAGTTTTCAAACTTCTCAAGTAATTTTGACTTTGTTATTTGCCCAGGAAATCAATGTTTTACTTACGCAATATCTCTAAATGTGAGCATAACACGGAAATTGTTCTCTACTTGTAGTTCCCACACACAGTCAGCGTTGTTTGGATAACCTCCAGGGTAGAACGGACTCTGCAGCATCCCAGAGGAATTTGAGATTGAGCCACCACAAAAATAAGGTGCTGCAGAAAGAAATGGAGGAGAATTTACTTACAGTAACCTCTACAAAATTGTACTTGAGCTGTATGTTTCTCATCCGCAGCTGCTGAAAAGCAGGTCTCCTGCTGACTGTGGGTGATATTCTGTACGACCCAAATCAAAACAATTCTTTTTTTTTTTCTTTAGGTTTATTTTCATGTTGGATTTGGGATTCCCTGTCACATCCATGGTGTCAGACCACCCTCTTCAGGCTGGGCTGGTAACACGTTGATGCTTTCTGCTCTAGTCTCTCCTTTCTGCAGTCGAGGTCTGATTCTGGGAGGTGTCATGACAGTCAAAATGGAAGTACCTTCCTGAACAGACAGCATCCCCTCGGTTACTGTGCTGCTTCTCTTTATTCCCCTAAGGACTTTGGAGGATAAATAAGTTGCAAGTCTTCTAGGAAACTCTGCAATTTTATGGAGTCAGACTGAAATAAGCACTCCAGACTGCTGGGCCAAGTCTTAAATACATCTCATTCCTCCTATAAGCGTAGATGCAAAAAGCTTTCATGTACCTGCCAGCACGAATGACATATAATTCTTATGTTAATCCTAAAAGTTTCTTATAGGAAGCTGAGCACAAGCTCTGAGCTTAATTCCTACAAGATGTGATACGTAAAGGCAACAACCCCCCATTTTATATTCCTGCACAGGGACACCTCCCCAGTGCAGCACACTCCTCCCTGCCTCAGGATTTTGGGATTCTCAGGCTATTCCAAGCTTGGGAGCATCAGCTATATCCAGACACCGCCCCTTCCTCTAATCAGACTGGATTGGCTCTCAGGCACCTTCACTTTCATACTATTTTCTACTGTGAATTGTCAAGCTCTAAATCTAAAATCTGCTTTCTAAGGCAAAAATAGCAGGCTGAAGACCATAACAGGTCTAGTAACCAGAAGAGCCAAAAATTACACATTGCAATACTTGAACACCACTCTGCCAATACTGATGTATGTGGTTAAAATTTAGAGATTTAGACTACACTTCCTAAGCCTTGAAACAGCTGAAGAGCCCAGCGAGGAAACGGCTTACCCACAGCCAACCAGTGTAACTACAAGATAAGCATCACTGAAGTGCAAGGGGATATCACAGCCTTTCTAGAAATTATCAAGCAAGTTTCAAGTGATATTGCCATAGAAACAAAAATCAAATTAAAAAAAAAGCCCAACAAGGATACAGACCACAATTAAAAAAGGTGAGAAGAGCCACAGAGCATTACCTGATGGAGGTGTCGGAGTGGCCAGAGCAGCTGTGGGGGTGGAGGAAGAAGAGCCACAAGTGAGACGTGTTGCTCAGGAGAAAGATGCTGGGGCACAGACATGGCCCCACCTTGGGGCATAGGGTACCACAAAAGGCATCGTGGCGAGGAGGGGATGGGGACACGGGGGACTGGGCACAGGGGGCCATAAGCTCCATGGGAGAGCCGGTGGCCTCCGCTGCCCACGCACCTGCACAGATGACGCCGGCGTCCTCCACGTGCCTGCAGTTGTGCACACCCCAGCCATTGTGCACGGGGGGCAATAAGCCCCATGGGAGAGCCGGTGGCCTCCGCTGCCCACGCACCTGCACAGATGACGCCGGCGTCCTCCACGTGCCTGCAGTTGTGCACACCCCAGCCATTGTGCCTGCACATCTGGAGGGAGGGCTCGTCCCCGCGGCACTGCACGTCATCCAGGAAGATGGGCCCGGAGCCGCGGCCGAAGCGTGCGCTGCCCGGGGCGGCCGTAGCCTGGCCGCAGCCCAGCCGCCGGCACACCACCCGGGCC